CTCCACTGCTGCGCCTCGACTCAGCAGGGAGGAGACCTCCGCTTGCAGTGCCTCTAATGATCCCCGTACCTGAGAGCGTGCTGCCCGTACGCCTCGGAATGGTGGTGGCTTCCGGGAGAATTGCAGTGCGCAACCCCTGCGCAATGTTTTCTCCAGCCACAGATCCGTCAGCAACCTTGCTCCCTCCAGATGCTGTAGAAGTCTGTGAGGGGCGGAACGGGAGCTGGAACACGAGACGTCACGGCCCCGCCCTCTCCTGGTGTTCCTAGCAGGGAGGGGGGGTGGCTGAAAGGGCCGGGGGGCCCCCTGCGTCACACCGTGAGCGCCGGGGGCGGTCACGTGTCCTGCAGGCCCGACGTCATAAGTACGGGACTGCTCATCCCACGTGAGTCGGCTGCTGTGCCCCCCCCTGGCTCTTGCCTCATGGAGGGGGGGGCGAGCCCCTGGAGTGGGAGACCCCGTGTTAGCCTTGTAGCTCTGAGATGCTAACACGCGTTCGGCCGAAGCACACACATCATTACTCACCAGATCCCTCCGCCTGACCTCTCTCTGGGAGGGCATAGCATGAACCAGAGAACCGGAGCTCGTAGCTCGCGTAGCGCACTGCACACCCTGCTCTGGGGGCTGCAGGCCTAGCGAAGCAACGTTATGTGCTCGGGAAGTAACACAATCAGAATTCAAATTATTTGACATGTTACATACCCCCAAATGAGACTCAGAAACGAGTAATGATGAAATGCCGGTCGGCCTTTATTGAAGGAAAACTTTCCACCCCGACCTCCTCTGCCATAGGGAGGTCGGCGGTGGGTGCGTTGCTCCCGCGAGCCACCCATGGGTCTGTCTGGACCCGGGGGCCTCGTCGAGGGGGGACGATGGACAACCGAGCGCGGATACGGGTCAGGATGCCTCCCGGGCGAACGCTCTCTGCCTCTGTCCCGGCTCCGTGATGGTTGGTGGGCCTCGCGCCTCGGTGCTAGGTGCGGGGCTAGCCTAGCCGAGTCTTTAGCTGCAGACTCAGTCTCGCCACCAAGGCCTGCATGTCCGGGCCGAAGAGGGACATCTGAGAGATGGGCAGGTCCAGCAGCTGCCTCCTCTCCGCCTCCCTGATATTAACCAGCCCAAGCCAAAGGTGCCTGGCCCCGACTTGGGCTGCTGCCATGAAGCGGCCACCATCCACAGCTAGCGTCTGGCACATGCGCAGGATTGCCGCCGAGGTGGTCCTCGCCTGTGACAGGAGGTCTCCACTGAGCGCCTGGCCAGAGGAGAGCGACCTATCCAGGGCCCCCGTGATGAAAGTCATGTTGTTAGCCAAAGTGACGACCTGTGCCGCATTGGCATAATATCTATCCAGCATCGGCAAGACATCCTGTCCCGCTCAGAGGGAAGGAGAGGTCTGGTGCCGGGCCACACGGATGCGGAGGGCTGCAGGGCCATGCGGACTGAATCCTCGATCACCGGTCCAGGACCAGTCCTGCACGCTGCAGTATATGTCGTACCCCAGAGCAGGCCTCTTGGCTGCTAGGGGCTTAGGCCACTCACGTGTCGCGTAATGGACGAACAGGTCCATCCGCGGGCACAACGTGGGTTGCATCCTCCTCCTTCCTCGAGTGGTGGCACCCACAGAGGTGAAGTCCTCCACCGTCTGGATCCAGCGACGACGTCCGACGCCGGAGGGCGAAGGGAACTCGGACGAACAAGGAAGACATCTCAGAATGAAGTAAGTACTGTGGTAGATCTCAAACGGCGCCAGAGTGAAAGAGGGGGTGCGGCCTTGTGCAGGGGCATTTATAGAGGAGGATGGCTGGTGATTGGAGCAAATTATTTTGATCTCTCTGGCGTGTGACCTGGGGGTCACGAGTGATATCCCACTAGCGAAGTCCTAAGGGACGTAGCACCATGACGTAGAACCATGGCTTTTCCTTCCATTGTGATTTCTCCCACCTTTTCTGGTTTTCTTTTTTTTTAATTAAATAAAACAATATAATAAAATGGCTACAGTCTTCTACATACTTGAGAAAGATAACAATATGTTAAGAACTTTTATTACTTGCCTAATCTGACATAAAATGTATCTTATCTTAAAGAAGCTATACCCAATTTTTTTTCTAAGTAGTTCATAAAAATGCTTTTTACTACATACAAGTTGTCTCATAATACATAATTTAATTGAAAACTTGAGGTCATTGATTTAGCTGTATATGAAATTCAGGCCGAGAAAAGTGCTGAGTGGAGTCTTAGCGGGACGCTCCTTCTCCTCACAGAACGAGCAGTGACCAGCCTGCGTCCTCTAGCCCCTACAGCGCTGCTAAACACCAGGGCTTCGGCTTCAAAATTTGAGTATAATTCTAAAATAAAAAATATATATATATATTTGAACAAATATTAGACAACCCTTATAATTCGAAATTTATTTAATGACTGCAAATAAAATGGTTAGCTCCCGAAGGTTTCACCGGGACGTGCTAGGCAGGTAACAGCTAAGCTAGCTAGCTGTTTCACGGTAACTTCAGCCATGAAGGGGTTTTTTGCGATCGCTTTTTGTCACTTTAAAACAGTATTTTTGTCATGAAAACGTTGACAGCAAATTCTGAAATCGTCCGTGCATGTGTGTTAAGGATGTATATGTATACTATATTGTCTGATTAACGTTTAATGGTGTTGATTGATTGATATGTATTTGCTTATTGAGCGTGGCTAGCTCCGCTATCTTCTGTACACAGACAAGTGTGCAGAGAAACGGCACAGTGTAGTGACAGGCGCTGATAGCTTGTTGTACTTGCAGAGTAATGGCAGTATTTTACACACCTGAATTACAAACAGAAATTGCATTGGGGCTGCGGCCATTATTGGTTTGAGAGTTCTGTTATCGAGAAAAAATTATCGGAAGAATTGCATTCAAGTCAATGGAGTGACTTGAATGCACAGCTCCTCACAGACTGCTGTGAGGAGCTGTGTAAGAAATGATAATTAAATATTAGAATATATTCTAATGTTTAAATTAATAAATTCGGACGTGAAACTAGCGGTATTCTTTCACTTATATATTGTGTTAGCAGTGCGTTGCTTAGGACCATTTCATCGGTGAGTACAAGAAGTTGCGCTAATGCTAATGTTAGCATACATGTCAGATCGCAAATAAAACTAGATGGCTCCGTGGGATGAGAGCGTAGGGGAAATGAGAAGCCTGAGAGCGAGTTGGGGGCGGTGCTAAACGTTCAAACATTGCAGAAACGGGTATAGCACCTTAATAAAATGTGATTGTCAGGAAACGGCATCAAATTAAATAAGTTATACAAAGATTTAGCACATTTTCAACACCTCACAGACCACTGTTTAATCCATCATCTGGGAATGGAAAGAGCATGGCACAACTGCAAATCAACCAAGACATGGTCATCTGCCCAGACAATCTATTGTCACAGACACACACACACACGTACACACACGCTGTTATTACTCAGTTTGTTAAGCTATTTGTTTTTACTCTCGCTGTCTTGATATGCAAAGAATATATGTGCATCTCAACTTCATCTGCAGTGGAGCGGGGTCTCTGCTGTGACCACGTTTCTCTGACGTGAGGAAGAGCACAGAGCGAGTGCTTGGACTCATCGTTTTACTCGATATTGAGATATAATATGTCTTTTAGTTTTTTTCAGTTGGATTGGTTCATTTCGGTAAACTGAGATAAAATTCTCAAAATAACATAGACAAATCTCCAAACCCAGGGGTCAGCAACTCAAAAGGTTCAAAGAGCCATTTTTGACAAAAAAACTAAAAACATCGTCCGGAGCCGCAAAAAAATAACAGCCTTGTATCAGGCTTATTTGAACACAGGCTGAAGCTGTATTAGGTATATTTGCCTAATATCTAAATGACAAAGTAAAGGCTACAAACACATAATAAGCATTCATGATTATCAAATGTGTGTTTTCACTGCAGCGTGTCCAGGAGAGAATGACGCACCACGTGATGACTCTGCTTTAACTTTGACTTCCATTTTTTTGCCTTCATGCAACTGTAGAAATACAGTAAATAAAACTGCTTTTTGGCTCAGAGTTCACCTGCATCACAGCAGCTGTCTGCTCATATCGATCACAGGCTGAAGTTTGCTGGAGCTGAATGTCCTTAATGGCCCTTTCTTTCACCGTCTTTGTGGAGGTTTTTGAAGTCTGAAAATAGATGCTCTGAATTTTGTATGAAAGAATCCTTCACGTAATCCCTGTGAACGGAGTTTAGTGCTTCATTGTTCCTCGTGTTGCAACAAAACTTCTCATTACATCACAAACATGAAGCAGTCCTTCCTCATTGACTGAAAATAAATGTTCATTCTTATTCTTAGTCCAGTCTTATTATCGACTCTTTCTCTTTTTAGCTTTGGGATCTGTGCGCACACGCCGGTTTGTTTACCACAGCGGCCGCCTGGCGCGGTGCCACGTCACCGGATATGACGCACTACGTTGACAGAAATGTGGATATTGAATATTACTTGTGCACAATTTTACAGCATTTAAAAACGTTAAGAATGTTTTTCCTCCTACAGAAACCACACTCAAACTAGGAATAAAATATAGCCCTCCCACTCCATTTTCAGACATTTTTTAAAAATGCTCCAGGAGCCACTCGAGGGGCACTCTAAAGAACCACATGCAGCTCCAGAGCCGCCGGTTGCCGAACCCTGTCCTAACCACACAGAAATGTTTCAGATTTGAATGCCATTTCAATCTCATTGATTCATTGAATTTAAAATGTCTTTGTTCATGTCTCAGGTGCATCGGTGATCTTTACAAATGGTTCTGTACAGAATTAGCTATTAAACTGGCAAAATCAGTCAAGAGTGACAATGAATATTTAGATACATTCATGGCAGTATTTCTGTGTATCTACCACATATTAAATGACAAAGGAGTACTTTCCCACTCCCAATGATGAATCATACATTTCGATAAGTTATGTGACAGGTGATAATGAATGGTGCCCTAAAGTATAGTGCAAAAAATACTTTAGGGCCAGTAACATATAGTATGAACATAGATGAACCACAGAGGCAATGTCCTACTCCGTAAGAGGCGAATGAGAAGGATGTGAACAGGAGAGGGAGGTGGCAGGGGAGGGAGGTGGCCAGGAGAGGGAGGTGGCAGGAGAGGGAGGTGAACAGAGAGGGAGGTGGCAGGGGAGGGAGGTGGCCAAGAGAGGGAGGTGGCAGGAGAGGGAGGTGGCCAGGAGAGGGAGGTGGCAGGAGAGGGAGGTGGCAGTGGAGGGAGGTGGCCAGGAGAGGGAGGTGGAGGGAGGTGGCAAGGAGAGGGAGGTGGCAGGAGAGGGAGGTGGCAGTGGAGGGAGGTGGCCAGGAGAGGGAGGTGGAGGGAGGTGGCCAGGAGAGGGAGGTGGCAGGAGAGGGAGGTGGCCATGTAGAGGAAAGTGGCCAGGAGAGGGAGGTGGCCAGGAGAGGGAGGTGAACAGTGATCAAAGATAAACTTTACTAAACTGTATTTACAGAACTGCAGGCTATGTTAAACTCCATGATTTTTGTTTGTTTATTTCTAAATGTACTAAATACTATATATACTATCTTTGTATGCACTCCAAATCAGTATAAGTGCTGTGTGTGTGTGTGTGTGTGTGATGGCAAACTCCTGTTCATTCTCTGTCAAAGTGATAACAGACAGTACACTGAAGGGACAATGCCTTTTGAGGGCACTAATCAGTTACACGTGAGAGGAGTTTAGCTTTGACACTTGGGGAACCAGCTTCGGGAGATGAGCTTCATGGTTTTGTGCTGAACCATCATAACATTTTCTGTGTGGAGTTTGCATGTTCTCCCTGTGTTTTTGTAGGTGTTCTCCAGGTGCCCCCGTCCTGGTGCTCCCTACCCCTAGGAAAGTGAGAGACAATGCCCAAAAAGCCCGCAATTGTAAAGCGCTTTATGACTCAGGTCTGTGTAAGGCGCTGTATAAATAAGGATTACTCACTTACTTACTTAATTATTTTGAAAAAAAATAAAAATCAGTAATATAAATGTACAGTTAGTGAACCAAACCAACAGAATACAATTGTAGATATAGAATACAATCATAGTGTCTTAGACTAGCATATACAGTAGCAAACAGTAGTTGAGATAATTCAGATTTAGGTACAAAATAAAAGTCCAATATGTCTGGCTCACCTCCATGGTTTCCTCCTTATTCAGAGCCTTAGATAGAGCGCAGCTTTTGGCCGCGCCTGCTGTCCCAGAGCCATGTTGGAATGCTGGAGTGGTGGTGAGGGTGCGCTTGGGGGGTGCTGACCTCTCTGAGTGATGCCAGGGCAGGAGCTGGATCCCCGTTTGGCGAGATTATAAAAAAAATGGAGGAGGCAACAGGGAAATCCTCACACCATCCTGCCACCGGCCAAACAACGAGACGGTAACCTGGACCACAGTTCAAAACCAGGGATATTCGGCAAATGTTCCAGCAGCTTTGATCGCAAACAAATGCATGGAGGAAAGTTAGAAAGTGGTTTGGTAAGTGGCCAGTTATGGAAACACAATGTTCGAAGAGACTTGCTTTCATGGCAGAGGATACGGAAATTGCAAAACAAAGCGGAGGTTGTCTTTGCCCCCAAACCACTCAGAGCATAGAGCATTGCCATGGTAACGCATGTAGTTTCAGCTCCATGTTGCTTCAGGGGCTGGGTGATATGACAAAAAGTTATGTCTCGATTTTATTGCACCATTTTCACAATTTATCCAACGCCGCCAAACTGTAAAAATGAAAGATGACATATTATACAAAATTGTCTTGTTTGAGCTTTTTACCATTATTTTACATTGTTCCTCATCAGTAATAATTTGACATCAGTGTACAGCTATGAAATCACACTCAAAGCATTTTTATGAATTTTAAAACAAAAGTATTGCTCAGAAATCATGTTTGGGTTATTTCACAGGTGAAATTACGTTATTTACGATGACATGACTGTGTTTGCATTTTCAAATGTTCTTTAAAAACAACCAAAACATTGTAGTAAATAATCTAACTGGGTTTCCCTCCCGCACAAACCAGTGATTAGTGAATGGAAACTACAGACTCTGCTGAGCTATAAAAAAGAAGGTTTAATGTAAATAAGCAGAATACAAACAAATTACAGACAAACCAGCTCGGGTCCCGCTAAGATGGAATAGCAGAAAGACCCCGACCACAGAAAGCAGCGAGGCCTTATAGAAATTAGGAGAGTCACAAGACACACTTTACAACCGTCACCGGACATTCATATGCACCTCATGATAAAGTATTTCAGTTTTATGATAAAGATGTTGTTCACACATATAAGGCTCTATTATTTTACCAGACGTCCTCTCTGTATCATGACTTAGAGAGAGTGGTCAGCAGTTTTGGACATTAAGTGCTGACACGTCCCAACACATTCATACATATGAAGACCCGTAAATGTAGAATTAAAGAATATTAATAATAGCAGATACCACAACATTAAAAACATTCCTCTGGTGATAGCATAGGGAGTTACAGGCGGAAAAATTACAAAATATTTGTATCTTTTAAACTAGTAAGAAAAAGCCATGTGAGTCACGCTTTGGCCTGAGAGCTGTTGTTTCAAATGTTCTGTCTGAAAAAGTTGATCTAAAGATGTGACAGAGGCCACAGTGGCGCAATGGTTGGAACTTCTGTTTCAAAGCAAGAAGGCCCTGGGTTCAATTCTACCTTCAGACGAGGCCCTTGTGTGTGGAGTTTTCCCTGTGTCTGCATAGGTTTCCTCCAGATGCTCCATAGAATGTGGGACAAGGGCCCAGGCTACAAACAGTCCAACCTCTATGATGAACACAAACAAACAGTGTGAGTGAATAGACAGCAGTGGACATGCCTGCTCTGCTGATGAGTCCTGACCTCTCTGCTGGCCCTCTCTGGTGGCAGGGGCCCTGTGTCTGCCACAGAGGCCCCGCAGAGGCAAAGACCAGGACCCCGCCTCCGGCACACATACTGCAAGCTCACCAAGTTCACTGCACCTGATAAACAACGGAGCAAACAAAGAGGAGAGTGAGTCTGGAGCCGTGGTGGAAATCACAAGTGGGATATGTGCGGTGTTTTTCATGTAGATGTTGTGTGTTAAATTTGACCCTGAATTATTATTATAAAAACAAGTTTCTTCATAATGGGGTGTGTCAAATGACCTCTCTTTGATAGATACAAATACAACAGAATTTAGAGCAGCGCTGCTTGAGTACAAGTCTCTCCATGGTCTCGCATCAAAGTACATCCATCCATGGCCTCCTGCTGGGACTCTGAGGACTCTGAGGATCTTGTTTTGTTAAGCACTTTGAGTTGCCTTGTGTATGAACTAGGGGTGGGAACCTCAGGGTACCTCACGATACGATTGCCACTACAAAGGTCACGATAACGATTATCTCACGATATGACAATGCAGCGATTATCGATAAATTGGTCAAAAACATACCTACGATAATATTTGTCCTATTATATGTATGGCATAAATGAAGTGAAAAAATACACTTTATTTCAAGATGAATGGATAAAGCTTCATGTGTAACATTTAAGTGAACAGGCAAAAATGCCTTTTAACCTGCACATTTCAGTGACAATCTTACTTAATCTTTCTTACATTCAATAAAATCAATATGAACATTCTACATACATTTTAGAAGGTGTAATGTAGCCATATATTATACAAATAAAGCTTTTTTTTTATTTTTTTAAATTGATACTTATCAAAAGCATTATCGAGAATCGATTGCATGAGAAAGAATCACGATACATCACCATATCGACATACTGTCACACTCCTGGTATGAACTGTGCTATACAAATACATTTCCTTGCCAAGCTGTGGAAATTTGCAATGGCGTAGGTTTGTGGTGGGGACACAACTCTTATTATTATTATTTTTAAATATTCACATATTGACCGGGAATCAAACTCTGGCCACAAATCGTTACCACTGATTTGTTAATTTTATTTGGTTTTATCTTTAAGTTTTTACAACTAACAATCTCTGTTTTGGTCACACATACATTGTATCTATGTACCAACATTCTCCTGATGGAGAGCTGTGTAAAGAGACCCCTCAGACTATGATGTCATGAACAGAGCTGTTTTCCTTCTCTAAAGAGCAAAAGTGTTGCACCTAAACTAGTTTTGAAAATGTTTACACTTGCAGATATGATATTCCTTACAACTGCATACCTTCAAATACTCCCCAACCATATTTGAAGCAGGAAACTTTAGTGATAAAATTACCTTTGGCGCTTTAAAAAGCCTCACAATACATAGCATGTTGTAATCCTGTGTACTGCTATAGTTTCCATACCCTTAGCTGAAGCCAAAAGCATGCTAAATGGACATTATTTCCCAGATGGGCCCGGTGGTCACAAAGCGGTGCACGCACAGGCCAGCTGCTGCACGGCCTGCTTAGCGCACTCCAGAGCAGATGCTGGTGGTGCCGCGGGAAGCCCATTCGTCACTGCTGTTAGCTTAACGCTGATGGATGGATGGGGTTAGCACTTCCACACTCACCTGACAGCAGCAGAGAGGAGGGGCCAGGCACAAGGGAGACAAGGAAAGTAAAGTGTGTCTTACAGAAGTTACAGAAGAAATATGATATGTTGTTTGTGCTCATCTTAACCCTTAAATATCATCTGGAGAATATTGATTTTGGCATTTCATGTGAAAGGATTTTTAGCGCTGGGGTACCTTAACTTTCAAACCTCAAATAATAGAAACTACCAAAGTTTTATGATACAGTATTGTTGGCCTTTGATCAGCTTTTTGTAAAAAAGAAAGGACCACCCTCCGCACTTGGTAGTTCCATCAGCAAATGTTGTTGTAAGGCAATCAAATTGTGCTCAAGTTAAGATACTTTAACCCAAATTTAAGCAACTTGTTTATCAGCACCTTTTGCCGTGTAGTCACTGTATGGGTAGATAATGGATGAAGAGGTGCAACTCTTGCTGTAAATAATATGTCCTGCATAAAACTGTAGCGGCAAAGACAGAGGGGGTGGGGGACGTGCTCGTGGCAGAACTTCCTGATCTTATTGAGGATGGCGATAAAATCGGTTCCAGGTCTGTACTGATGGTACAGTAGCCTGTAGCCCAGTCCCATTGAACATGCCAAAACTGGACTATGTTATTTTGGTTTATTTATTAATTTCATCCTTATTTGGGCCCTGTGCAGTTGGGAAGTTATTATTATGATGATGGTGATTATCATTTATAATGTATCAAACATTATAATCAAACATCGAGTCAATTGAGTTAAACATGAAGTTGTGATGATCTGCAGTTAGTTTGCCCAGAGAGCTTGGCTTGCAAATAATTCATAAACTTTATATAGATGGACAAAGCTAACCCCTTAGCTCCTGAAAGAGCAATAGGGATGTGCTCATGGTTCAAGCTTTG